CTTATTTGGTAGTTTTCTAACTTTCCGTAATGCAAATAATTATTCATTTATTCGGAATCATACCTTGGTAGTACGGTACTTTGAGCATGTTTGTGCCGGAGTCCGCTTATCATGCTTGCGCCATGCATATGTTTAAGCCTGAGTCGAACGGTATATGACGGTCCGCCTGAGGTATACCCCCGGCCAGACACTGTACAACGGTCGGGTAATGATACAAGAGTCAAGCATACAACCGCACTCAACACTTACCAGGACGAACAAGCTCCAGCACATGGAAGGTAAAGCAACATTATTGAGTCGCAATAAATCGACAAGATTGCTCCGGTATTGCAGGCCAGTCCAATCTGGAAGCTTCACTAGTTAGAGGAATCGCGTCAGCTAATATGTTACATGCTACAGCGAGCTCTTAAGTGTCATCGAGTCTCAGAGTCTGCGTGCCATCTAGGTTCTAAGACGCCAGCTGTTTAGAAACGTTTGGTGTGCTCTTCTAAAACAACACTCCCGGACGTCAAGCCACCTTTGGTACTTGTTAAGCCACCTCCAGAGCTTGACGATAATGTGAAGAACGTGGTCGGCGGGGGTGGCAACGGTGGTAATTCCATTTGCCCGGATAGCATCAGAAGACAATCTCGGATGGTGGGCCGTAGACTGACCTGGAGCCCTCTGAAAACGGCGGCGTAGAGTTCATCGCGAGCTGGGCCAGGTCGCACATGAACAGGAGTACTGCAAGAAAGAAACGACTTTGAGGAAGCAGGGCTACGAGTGACAGAAGTACTGTCGAAAGAAGAAGAGGTTTAGGAAAGGGAGTCACCGAACAAGAAGACGAGAAAACGATTGATTCAATTCATCCTGGGCGCCGAGGCGAGAGAAGATAGGCAATCACATTGTCAGAAGCTTTTCCGCGCCGCAAGGCTTTGCCACGTGGCAAAAGCTGACGCTTGGGCTCGTGATCGAGATGCTGGCCAGGAGGTGCAGCCTGAAAACGCGCGAGAAAAACTTCTTCGCTGTGCCCTTCGGATGCACGGCAGCTCAACAATGTGGTGTTGAAATCTCGTTCAGCATTGAGGCCGAAGCGGGTTGATCTTTGCACCAAAGAAATGAGCAGATCGTTCACTCAAAATCTAGTTTCGAGGGAACCAATCCTAATTGGAACGTCCTGCGTGTAAGTCGAGATACGCTCTGGCCGGATCTCTTGGGAGAAACGAATTTACACTCACATCCGCTGAAAAGGTCTTGCAGAATTATCCAAAGTTGTTCGAGAGAGCGTTCCTTTTGATAGAGACTCTCGGGAATGGTTGCAGGAACTAGAGCTGTTAAAGGCGCCCGAGGATGTCACCGGACCTTCCAATCAAATAATGTTTCCTGCCTTACGAGGGCAGAGCACATGGATACTTCGCTTATAGCCCGTGCGAATCAAAGGCATGGGCCGGAGTGCGGATACAGGGCATTGTTAGTGCTGTTCGCAAGGACATGTTCTGACAACTTCTTCTCGACAACTACGGACCTAGCAACCAAAGAAACCGTTCAACCGTTACTGCGCGTGCACTACCTAACTGCCGTGAAGCGGCCGGCGTTTGAGTTTCCATCGATAAGATGAAAACTAATACTGACACTGCGGCGGCTACTCAGGACGATGCTTCTATGCTTCAGTGATCATGGATGATGTGTGCATGCCATATGAGTGACCTGGAAAGATCGTATCTTTTTCATTTTCGCCGTTAGCCTGAGCGCGGCAGTCTGTTCACCGACATGATATCGCACCGACATAAGACCGCATGACAAGTCTTCGGTCAGGTGCAGTACGCGCATACAAAAGTGGCTGTGAGAAGCGGTGGCGTCAGGCGAGTAACGTGCAATAACTATCTGAGGCAGAACCTCAGTTGGCAGAGCATCCAAGCCACTCAAAAAACAGGGACCCGGAAACATCTGAGCACAAGCCTTTCGCGCACGAGACAATGGAGTTGAATCAGGTTCAACGATCCTCGCAGGTGCTGAGAGGATCCCTCTCAGCACCTGCGGGAGAAGTCCAGCAGGCAAATAACATACCAGCCACCGGCCCTCACAAATCTCGACGCATTAAAAGGCATGCGCAGCTTGTTGGTGCAAAGCAGTTTGGCGCCAGACCCATGTCCACCTGGCCCCCTGCATTACCACAGCCCACACCGCGCAACAAAGAAAAAGACTCAATCGTTTCTAAAAGAGAAAAAAAAGAAGCATATCAACGGCGGAATCGTGTTCTAGCTCATCTCTGGGGTTGAAGGACCAGCACTGGGCAGTTTCGTTTTCTTTGCCCTCCAAGAATTAGCCTGCAGCCTTAACATGGTCACCCTCTGCATGCTCGTTGTTCCGGAAGCTAAGAAAGAGGAGCTTCAGGTTCATCAATTTTCAAACAGCCGTTGTTTCCGTGCGAATGCACTCAGATGAAGGTTTTCATGGCTCGATGGCAGATGCAGACGGGCAAATCAGAGAAAATATTGAGCGAGATGGATTACCTGGCCCCACCTTTGTACGTAAACTTGTCATGCCTTTCGTTTCCTGACCCGCAATCCCGAAGTCTTAGATCAGTCGACCGCACAATGAACTAAGTTCTTCTGAGACTCTTTTCTACACTAGTATCAGCTGCTTACTGGTAGGACCGGTTGAAAATGACGTCAATTACTCTGATGCATCAACCACGGCCAATTTGACCTTCGACATCCGACCAATCACGGAGGCAGCGTCATGCAAACGAAGTCGCGGAAGCGTTGTGGGCGTCAACTTGAAGGGCCGGCACCCACCATACGATTCTTATCACAGCCTGAGCCTGCTACCGCTCCCGCTGCTATTCAGATTGGACTCGCTTTCAAGCAGCTTACAGAGGGCCAGTGGGGCGCAACAGGGCACAGAAGGCCCGTTCAAGCGTCCAGTATCTTGTGTCCAGCGAAGTAGAAAAGTGATGATCAGAACCTTCCTAATCGTACAGTAGGACCATAACGTGAGCGTGTCTTTGCGAAGACAGTACGGACAGATAAACACGCGCCTTTCTTGGTCATCATCCGAAGTACGATGGCGTTTA